TATGTAACAGTTTTCTTCAACAGATGAAAGTAACAGATTCCAGAATGTGATTTCCGACTTTCACAGTGCAAATGTTTATTTGCTCATAGTCAGATCATCATCAGATCATTTTTGTTTTACCTTTTGACATAATCTAATTATATAACTGACCTTGCTTTAGTAATTAAAGAATATTTTTCAACATTAAAGCAATTTAGAAAAAAATGTAACGACACCTAACAATCCAACTCCTTTTATGTGAAATACATTCAGTACAATGGAAAAAAATCGATATATAAAGAAGTCATTTTTTCTTAAAATAAGTGTCTTTTTTCTTGAATTGAGGTAAGTAAGATATTTTGCCAATGGAACAAGACAATTTACTTTTAAAATAAGAAAAAAACTATTTCATCGCCTTATTTCAAGTGTATATTATCTAATTACCTTCTTTTAAGAGAAACAATCTTCATTCCATTGGCAAATCATCTTATTTACCTACTCAAATTGAGGGTAAACATAGTTAATTTAAGAGCTTTTGACTTATTTCTTGATCGTTTTTTTCTTATTCCATTTTGAAAGTCTTGGTTCTGCTGCAGTTTTTATTTTTTTAGGTTGGTTTCACATTTTCTTTTAACACTCTTTGACACCTGCTGGATTTTAAGGTTTGTTCTCTGACAGTGTGCTGCCAGGTCCTGTTTCCGAAATGTATTTCCAAACTATAACACTTCCAACTCCATGCCTTTCTGTGCTTTGTCACCAAACATCAGTAAAGCTTTTACTGTGCCAGAGTCTGGTTTCTTGATTGAATCATGGCAGTGTGAACCTGATCCTGGTATGATTACAGCCTGACTTTTTTAACCAGACCCTGGAGTGGGTTGGTAGCACTGTGATACTGTGATGCATAAAGATCCAGCAAACCAAAGGCAGGAAGAGAGGATGTGATTTAAGAGAAAGGGGTTTGAGTAGAGGAAAAACAAAGTAAGGAATCCTGAGACAGCATACTGTGAAAATGTCTCATGGGGCTACTTAGAGTATTGAATTTTTGCAGGAGCATAACTACAGTTGAAAACCAAAGGAGCAACAGAAAGACAAGAGGGATTTTCTTTTTAGTGCCTTTTTTCTGCTGAATTATTGATAAACTGGAGAAATACTGGCCTGGAATCAATCCATTTGCCATTGTTTGGTCCTGTTTCATTGACACCATGTTTGGTATAATGTCCAAAAAATATTTTTTTTGACTCACCTGAGCAAATATTTTTATCTTTTCTTGTCTTTGTTTAGTTTCTGTTTAGAAAACTTTAGTCTGACATTAATGTTTTAATCTCTGAGACCAATAAGTTTCCTTTTCAGACGTGTCCTATAAAGTCACACTAATGCAGTCTGTATTTTCTCCCATCATTCTCACATCAAGAGCAGCAACAGCATCCTACAGATCCTATTATAAGATTTCTAGACTTCTTTTAACATCTTTCATCCTAGTTTCAGGAGGAACAAGGTTAGACAACCAGATCTAGTTTTGAATGTCTATTACTTGTTGACTATTTTTCATTTATTTGAGTTGCTGATTTCTCATTATTTCAAGACCTCCTTACCAGTTCTAACCAGACTCCCCAGCTGCTACAGTCTACTTTATCCAGCACTAAGATTTTTGTTCACTAGCCGGGTTTCCATACAATTAAGAGCAAACATTTAAGATGTTGAAAAAGAAAAAGAACGGGACATTGACCAGGCTATGCAAAGGGGATTGTCATCTTACATTTATGTCAGGCATGGTTATGATAAACAGGAAATAGAAGTAGCAAGCTAGTGCAGACTACAGATCAGTAATGCAGTAATGTGTTGTAATCTGGCAAATTGTTGTTACTGCGTTGGCCTAGTGGTTAGAGCTGTGCGCTTGTCCTTTGAGAAGGTTCCACCTACCCGGTTTGATCCCCACAGCTGCACTCTGGGTTCCTGAGCAAGACCCTCAACCCCACACTGCTCCCTTGGCGCCGCACAATGGCAGCCCACTGCTACCTAAGGGGATTTGTTAGTGAGTGAGTGGCAGGTTGGTTAATTTCCCCATTGTGGGACAATAAAGGGATTTACATTAAATTTAAGATTTAAATTTATCATCTCAGATATTATCAGCGATGGTACATCTGGTAGACAGGTGTTAATTCTAATGTTTGCATTCAGGATGCCAGCAGCGAAAACAGCTGAACAGTCATGTGAGGTAAATGTTTGCTATGTCGACAAATGTGTTTCCATTTTCTTCATAGCACAGTTAGGCATGCTCTTTTTTGAAAAAGTGGAAAAAAAAAAACATGATGGCGGCATAAACCTTTTTTTGCGAAAGTTAGTATGTCGATTTGAATTGCTCTGTAACATCAAGCTGTTCAAATGGAAAAATAATGATGGAAACACAAATGTGACCTTTGTCCTCATACAAACATTCAGGAGCAAAACAATTTAGATATCGGCGGTTTAAGCAGGAAAAACCACCTTCAAAAGACTGAGTAACAAATAGGAGTATAGCAATATATTGAATAATATTGTTATACTGATTAAAACAATTGATCATTATTGACGATAATAATTGTCATCTTTAGGAATGATGATAGTTGATCTGCTTTCATGACTTTTTAATAAGAAGAATCCTGTTTGCATTTCACAGCAAGACTCCCCTAATACACTGATAATAAATAGTTTATAGATAATCTGCAAATACTTTATAACTCTATTTCTATGTATTTATCATGTAAAAATTAAAGGTTATAATTTAATAGGTAATAACAAGAAACAAACCTGATTGCTATAGATACTATAAAGTCAATGTAATGTTGGTTTTATTCAGTGTTTCAAACTTCTAAGCAAAATAAACATTTACAAACCCAGTTTTCATTATGCATAATAGCTTAAATATATAATAAAGAGTGATGTAATTAGTAATAAAGGGTTTACACATGAATTAATAACATATCCATACACTTTTATAAGGGGAGCCTATCTGTAAAGTGTTACCCAGGTGTCGGAGTTGTGATGTAGATGCAAGTGGTTGCATTAGATGGCCATCTAGAATTAAATCTTATCCATTACACTCATACATTGAATTGAATCAAAATCTTGTCAGGGCAGACTTTTTAATATTGGTTCTCCATATAAATACTTTATCAGGATAATGCTGGTTATGTACACGCCTAGTAACAAAGCTCTATCTATCTGCTGTTGATGTAATATGACTGGTTCATCCTAGCTGCTCTTTTGTTCAGCGTTCACTGCAGCTCAGTAGAACCTGGACATGGCCATTCTTTTAATGCCTGTAGGGGTATCCTAGTTTTTTTCATTAAGACATTACTTGGAGAAATGTTTCAAAAGTTTATTTTCTGTAGTTTTTTAGCATTCATTAATATTAGTTGAGTTTTAAAATGTGTTTAAAATCACATAGTCTTCCATTGGGTCTTCTAATCTGTTAATAGATCAATATATCAAAAAAAAGACTTTTAGTTAGTTTATATAAACTTATTAGTGCTTTCTTCCAGGATACATTCCCAACAGACCAGTCTACTGCCAGGATATATGGTTTCAAAAGTTTAATTTCAAATTCAAATAAGAAATGGCCTAAAAAAGTAAGAAAGCTATCAGCAGACAATTAGCTATTATTAAACTTTTAGTGGCACAGAGCACTATTCCTCATCCATCATCCATCATCCATCCATTCATCAATCATCCATCCATCTGTTCGTCTCTTCATCCATCATCCATCCGTGCATTGATCCATCCAACCATCCATCCATCCATC